GGAGCGTGTGGTGTAGTGGCAAGTGTGTTGTCTGTCAGGTAAGTCGTGCAGGTTCGATTCCTGTAAGGTGCAAAGTTTTGCATTCTAAAATGCTTCTTATTACCAGGAAGCCGATTTCCATCACGATTATGCTATTTTTACATTCATTCATAAGTGAAAAATTGGTAAAGAAAGAAAATTTGTCTTAAACTAAATTTACTAATTCCAAACACTACAATTCTACAATAACAATTCACAAAGACCGCTTCTTATCAATTCATGCACATAGGGTCTACTACGAAAGACTGAAGCAGAGAAGATGCTCGCAATGAGCGCAGCGAATAAAAAACAGTTTGCTGCAACTGGCTAGATCACAATGGCCTAGCAAGTTGGGCGAAAAGCAGTACTGGACGGGAGTTTCAAAATGGCCAAGGTGCGTGTCTAGATATCCTGCTGCATACCACGAATACTGAAGAAAATCCTTAAATCTTGGAGAGCGAATTTGAGAATAAATTAGAGATAACATAAGTATTGTGTTTCGGTTGTGTACTCTCTGTAAAATTAAGATCATGAGCCAAAACATATGATGTGAACCTCTTATGCATAGCTTCAAAAGATGAGAAGAGATTCAATACTTAAACTGTTATCTCTAACTTCTTTTCAACTTCGCGCTTCAAGATTTAAGGATTTTCTTCAATATTCGTGGTATGCAGCAGGATATCTAGACAAGCACCCTGGCTATTTTGAAACTCCCCTCCAGTACTGCTTTTTGCCCAACTTGCTAGGCCATTGTGACCTAGCCGGTTGCAGTAAACTGTATTCGCTGCGCTCATTGCGAGCATCTTCTCTGCTTCAGTCATTTCGTAGTAGACTTTATGTGCATGAATTGATAAGAAGCGGTCTTTGTGAATTGTTATTGTAGAATTGTAGTGTTTGGAATTAGTAAATTTAGTTTAAAGAATATTTCCTTTTCTTAACAATTTTTCATTTATGAATGAATGTAAAAATAGCATAATCTTGATGGAAATCGGCTTCCTGGTAATATGAAGCATTTTAGAATAAAGATTTGCACCATGGAATCGAACCTGCATGACTTACCTAACAGACAACACACTTGCCACTACACCACACGCTCCTTGGAACATGTTGTTATTGAAGTTCTTATAAGCTGCCTTGTTGAAGTTTGCCGGTCCATAACTTCCTTATAAGAATCGTTTAGCAGATAAGGAAGGAATGTTTGAGACTTGTGTCC